CATGCACTTTCTTGCGCCGGTTTTGGTTGCTGGCTTTTGGCTGCCCGTTTGGATGAGCGGTAGGAGAAAGACATCAACGTCGGAAGTGGAGTCGAAGAGACGGTTTTGCTGATGACGAATCAGTGTGCCGTCAGACTTCTTGATTACCTCACTTACGACTACTCTCCTTGACCCCGTACACCTATTCAAACGAAGATTGTGATCATTACGGATAGCCACAGTCCTCTCCATCTCTCTACACTTCCATATCCATCACTTCTCGCGGTCATTCCTTAGACTCTTGCTGAACTGGTGTTTAAGGGATTTGCGCTATGTGTCGTATTTTGCATCCGAAGGAATGGCATTTTGAGCGTTCAGCAGGGCAGCCGAGGTGGGGGTTATCAATCGTCTTTGCTTTGATCGTGCTCCGGAATCCGTTGTCCTCTTGATTGATCTTTGGATCGTTTCCTTGACTACCATCCAGTTCATTGAATCTCACTGATAGCTGAGCTGAAGGGCGATAACGTAGAAATACCCTCATCAAGTGAAGGCAATTCATGAGGCTTTCTCATCTGAGGTTACCTGAAACGCTTAGTCCTATAGAAGCGTTTTTTTGTGTTGCATCCTAAGGGTTATCAGTCACAATCGAGGACACAGCCCGGTTCATACTTTGGGTTTCGGCTGCTTACAATGAAATAAGCCTTCACACAAGTGTGCGTGTTTATTAGTTCGCTTTGAGACTCATGCTCCCCTACTACTGCGAAACATGACCGATGAACTGAGTGAGGATCACCGGTGCCTGCTCATTATCTTGGTAGCATGATTACAAAACCGTGTCTCCAACAGCATGATCGGACAGCGCTGCTTTGGAATTAAGACTCAATTTCTCGCACATCAGTCATTTATTCATTTTCTCCGGAGGCTAAAGAGTAAACTTTCGAGACACAACTTCACCCAACTTTCTTAGAGGAGCAAAAAAATTAGGAGGGGTAGGGCTGTCAGCGAGAAGACTGGGAAGAAAAACCAAAATTGGATATCCAATTGTGCTGACCTCCCCGCGGATCACCGTGCATGGGTTGTCAGTGGTATCCTTGGAATCGACTCATCCTCAAGCATGAAATTGTCGCATAAAAGCAAAAGTAATTGGGATTTATTTTGAGAATCTTCAGTGTATTTTATTCTTCCTCCTTTTCGCCGTTTTTCTTGACACAGATATGATATCGATGCCTCAGTAAGATACTGAGGCGTCTCTCTTATTTACCTCTGGATTATTTTTCTCACACCGTGCCAGGTCAAAATCTGTCAATACGGCACACTGTAAGTTGGTCGGTTACTTATTCCGCTTTAGGCATCCAATTCCTTGTTTCTTGAAAACCGAAGGTCTCAGTTCTTTTTGCATGCAGTTTCTTGTTTTCTTACATCCATAATCTGAATTTTGTTTACATATACCAGTGCGTTCTAGTACTTCATCATCCTACATGACTTCGATTGTATCATGCAAGAAAGACAAGCTACCATTGATTTTCTCTGGCTTATTAGTAACCGAAGTTCTGTGCAGAGCTCATTGCGTTTCATTTTTGTTTGTTAATATTCATCACGAACGAGATCATTCTTTTTTATCCACCTTTCCATTTGTCTTTTCTCACAGTTCTGTGATGCACAGTTTGGAGAATTGTCTGGTGCCCGGGTAGTTCGGATTGCTACACATCCGGATTATCAGAATTTGGGTTACGGCACACGTGCTCTTCAGCTCCTGCACGACTACTATGCCGGTAAGGTGGTAAGTCCGAACCTCAGTTGATTTCTTTCACCACAATGAGAGGTGTGATGTAAAGTCTGAATTTTTTATTGTTTATAGCCTATTCAGTCATCTGACTCGGGAGATACCATTGCCCAAAATACCCCGGAAGGATCTGGTCATGATAGTGGAGTTGAAAAATCAAACCCGAAAATACGCAAAGCAGTCCGGAAAGCGCTCGTTGGCAAGGACAATGAGGATGTTGACGACGATGAGGATGAGGAACTGATTGAGGAGGAGGACCTGTCTATGCACTCCAACGACGAATCAAATCAAGAAGATGTAGAAGATGATGATGTCAATCTCGAGAAGGCAGACCCAGAATCAAAGCTTCTTTCGGAGAAAATTGAACGACGTGGTCCCTCCAGTCTGCCACCACTCCTCAGTCGCTTGTGTGAACGTCCACCGGAGGTGCTACATTATGTGGGTGTATCTTTCGGCGCAACACCCGATCTTCTCCGTTTCTGGAAACGATCTGGTTATTTACCGGTCTATCTCAGACAAACACTGGTTAGTGGGTTTAATTTGTCCTCTCCGAAATTTACTTTAAACACATTTCAAGAATATTGGTTCTAGTTAACAGTCCTTGCATCACAACTATCAATGCTGTTCCACGCTACCTTAGCAATTAATCATCTGTCTTAGAGCTCCTTTACATTGTAACAGTGCGTTACAGTATCTACACCATTTCCCATCAAGCTTTAGCCAAAACCCGCAATCTTTTAGCCTCGACCCGCAATCCTTTAGCCTTGACCTACATTCCTTTAGCCAAAACCCACAA